ATTTAGCATTAAGTTATTGCCATTATTTCTCTTTCACTGAAAATTGGGCTTTCAGTTATACATCATGACTTATATTATGTGAATCTCTGTTTGCAAATAAATTTAGTCTTTTTTCTGTTTATGTGAGATCGATTACCTCTGTAGGGAGGTATAGGAGCTGGGCAGAGAGCAGCAGCTGTTTAAGGTTTTCTCTATGAGAAGATATCTGCATCTCATGAGATTAGTGTCTGCTTTTCTATCACCCTGTGAACAAAGACTTTCAATGAGCAAGGCCAGTCTTGCTAGGCTCTGATGGCCAGAATCAGATCTATATGAAGTCAAGACATCATTTTGAAAAATAAAGTATAAAAATAATAATAATAATTTCTCAAACTGGCTGTTAGAAATTGTGTAGATCCAAAAATGGTATTTTCACAGTTGCATTTGAAAAAGAAAGCTACATTTTGTCAGAATGGTTGCCGTCTATAAAGATAACTTTTGTCTTCCATGCCCTAATCTTTTGTTCTGGGGATTAAGACAGTGAACTAAAAATCAGGCAAAACTTGAGGGTTGAATAAGCAGTGTCTAAGATAAGAAAAAAAATAAAGGTTTGTATGTCATTCATTTGGGGCAATAAAGAAGACAGTTTTTGGACTCTTGTTAGCTTCCCTTAACAAGACCCCCTTCCTGTCCATTTCTGGTTCCTATACACCTGCCTCCTGCCACCCAGTTCAAACTTTTAAGTCCTCTTTGAGTTCTCTCTTCCCCTTACTCCCTTCCTTTCATCAATCTTGAAATCCTATTCACCCTTACTTCATATTTTTCATTTGTTACACACCTAGTTCAAGAGTTCGTTTCCCCTTCTCTATCATAGCAAAACGGCCTTCTAACTAATCTCCCTGATTCCTAATGGCTCTCCATTCAGTGTAGCCTCTACATCATGACCACATTCACCTTCCCACAAGACCATTTGGTCATATCACTTCTCTGCTCCAACACTTTCCAGGGAAGACTTAAACTCCATGGCTAGTTATTTGATCGATTCTGATTTGCTTTTCCAGGAATATTTCCTGAATTGCAAAACTAAGGAGGCACTCACTCTCAGGTGCCCACCCTGCACTTAAATGCTCTTAAGAGTAAGGGCTTCTATAAATTCTTCACCCTAAGTGGCTAGCTGGCTCCACCCTGAGCTTCTATGGTACATTTTGTAGAAATATTTCCTTGGCCAAGGAGGCCCACCACTCAGATCTCCCTTCAAGAAAGAACTTGCTAGTCAGCTGCAAAAAGTGCAATTAGCTGCCAGTCTCCAGCTACAGGACATTCAGGATCTGTCTCAAGTTTTGAGTCATAGCCATGTTCTTCCTAGGAACCACCAGTCAGTGACTAAGCATGTTAGGGGTACTAGGCCTGGCCATTTCTGTACAACATGGGGCTCCATTGATATAAAATAAGGCAATCTCCTCTGGAGGCGACTGCATTGTGGTGTGAAGCAGAATTGGCTTCCTCCTCCTTTTATCTCCTTTTATTTTTACTCTCCAATTCACTACTTGTTCAGTAACTCTGCTTCAGTATCTGTTTCCAGAAAACATAAATGACATAACTAGTCAGCAACTGGTCCTACCAGCCTGGACCTGGAGCTAGAGATGGAGTGATATGCTGAAATGGCCTTGCCATAGTGTTTAGGAGGCTGGGCTCCAGAATTTGCAGTCAAACCCTAGCTCTACCACTTCTGACCTGTATAACCTTTTACAGATTATGTAACTTTTCAGTACTTCAGTTTCTTCATCTGTAAAATGAGGGTTTCAGTAGCAAGAGAGGACTAGGTGAGATAATGCATTTTCAAGTATTTAGCACAGTACCTGGCCCATAATAAATGTTCAAGAAATATTCATTATTATTTTATAGACTTAGAAATGCCATTTACAGAGGTTGTTGGATATAATAAAATAGAAGAAATTTTCACTTTCTAAAAGAATTTTCCAAAGGATATAATAAGGCTAATAAGAATTAATTTAAAATGTTTCAAACCCAACCCTGTATTTTTTTTTCAGTTACAGTCCTCTTATTACAAATGTAGGTCCTCTTCTCTACCCAAATGTCATCACCTTGCTGTCTCCTGCCCTGATTTGTTTCTTCCCATATTTCTTTCTATCCCCTCACAGTGCCTATTCCTCATCTCTCCATCCGTTTCTGCTAATAATCTCCTTCTCCAGTTGGTTGAGAACCCACCTTCTCCAGAGTTTCCTTGACCAGCCTTCCCTCCCCTCCCCAACTATGATCATTCCTCTCTACTGGCAAAGCCTAAGAATGGTATCATTTTGAAACTAGAACAAAAAATAAACTAATTCTCAAACCATATTGAAGATCTCTGTGCCTCCATAAGCAACCATTAGTAATGAAACAGGCAAGACCTCTCCTCTCCCACCTAACTTTTGCCCAAGGCTGAGATGGTTGGCAAAGCAATGCTCATAAAAGCTTACTTAAGGATGAATGTTTTCAGCTATGGATGCATGGTCAGTCTGCAACTATATTTTTTACATCCTCTTTCTATTATGTGAGCCTTAAAAAATAAATGTTTTATAAGACAATCTTGGTCATATAAAGGGGAAACAATTATATGGGGGAAGTGTTTTACAATCATTTTAGGTATTGTAGTTAACATAAAGCTGTTCTATAAAATAAAAGCCGGGTCTGTAATACATCTAAAAGCCAGTAGAAAATCATAATTAGAGACAGATGGCAAACATGGTATTCTTTCCTCTCACTATTTTGGACATAGGATGTTCCCTATAAAATGGCACTGAATGTGACCACCTAGTGCCATATAAGCTCAAAAGAATAAAGCTCTTTTTATGCCTATGAAACTGATTTCCAACAAAATAACCAACTTCAAAAGTAAAATGAACATGATTTGTATGGAGTTAAATGTAATAAATATTTATATATAGCTTAATATTTACATATATGCATTAATGCATATTGCAATACATACCAAAAAAGTACTACTAAAGCTTCAGCCTTCCTGTACATTCAATTTGAAATTCTCATCAAGTTGTTTACATTCAAAGCCAAGATTCCTACATCAAATAGGTTACAATCTTAGGTGTATGTACTTAAGTATTGTAAATGAATAGTACCTAAAAAAAAATCCATTACACATGAGCAATACATGAGTATAACATTAATAGCCTACACAGATTTTTAATGGCTCCTAATATAATATGCCCTTTCAAGGAACCCTTAGTACATACTGAGGTTCATTTTTACTATATTACTTTGAGTAATTATGACTGGAACATGGCTAATAAAATAAGCTTTAGAAATAGGTAATTGTTTGAAATACACATAATCCTCTATAAGCATAGAGCTCTATAAATGATAAACTACTAGATCTCAAACACTAAAAAGTAAAAGTGGTTTCCACACTGATTTTCAAGAATATACATTTTTATTGTTACACTTCGGTAAACTCTTTTACCAAAGTTGACAATCATTTCCAATTCAAAGCAAATCAAAAGCAATTGTTTGTTCTTTAATCAACATCATTATGCAAAAATAATTAATAGCAAATGTAAAATAATTAACCTATATACTAACTCATTTTAAATATAGTGAAAAACTATAAAATGTCCTAATATATTCCACTTAACAAATTTACATTTAAGCTTCTTCCATTTCCAATATCAATACCCACTGTGCATTTAGAAAACCCAGTTGTGAAAACCTATTTTATTTAGTTTCTTAGAAAACTCCTAGTTTAACCTACTTTACCTTATGAATTCTGAGTTCCTACTTTTTTTTCTCATCTTCACAACAATTAGTAATTATTTATCTCTCCAAAAGCAAAAACATAATGCAAAGTGAAAGAATTATTATAATATGAAGACAAGAGAATTAATTTCTACTCTACAAGTGAACAATACTCAAGACAAGATGTTTATTCTAAACATATAGCACAGGACAGTCATAATTAGCTCCTCACCACAGTTAGAAATATACATACACATTTTTTCAAAATAAGTCCTTTAGATAAAGTCAAGTAACGTAAGCATCTTTGTAGCTTAAGGATTTGAAATAGCAATTAAATCAGAACCTTAAATCATTCATCTCTTTAACTAGAAAAGCAAGTCCCAAGGATGTCTCACTGAATGAGACAAGAGATGCTGAATGTGTAATTAATTGCTAAATTTCTTAATTTTAGGATGTAGCACCCAACATTGGCAAATAAACAATGTGATTTATGAGCCCACACTCTCACACTGCTTCACTAGAGTTAAGAAACACGGATATCCTAAATGCGCCCTGTGGATGTGATTTCTGCAAGCCAAGAAACATAGCAGGACCCGGCGATAGCAAGTCTAGCCCATCTACTTATTATTCAAGCACTAGTATTTAGAATACCTAAAGTGCCTGCTGAACACTGCAGCTCAACATCCCCTGAGGTGACTCCGAAGCAGAACCACATCTTTCCCCTCGCTGATTACTGAGTTTTAAGAAGGCAGGCAACACGGGGTAGAAATTCTCTCGTGCAGCAGCAAGATAACTCTTCTCTCCAAATTTTCAAAAACAACACTCCCTCCCTATAGACAGAGACACACTCACCTTTTTTTTAAGAAAGAAAGGAGGGTTTTTCAAATAGATGCCTAAAACATGCCGCTTGCATGGGGATGAAAAATATATTTTTCCTCTACTTGCTGCCGTGTAAGATGCTTACAGATCTGATTAGAAAACCTGGATGTACATAAAAAGTAGTGCTTTCAATGAGATTCCTTCAGTGATATCTGCCTGCACAGACACATGTGTACATAAATAATACATACTTATGCAAACATGCCTACATTAACAAGGACACACACATGCACGCACACATAGACCAGTCATTAAGCTTACACTGTTCTATAAGCCCCCTTTGACATTTTTTTAGCATGCAGATTATTCAGAAGACAGATCTTTAAAAAATTAATAAGCAGCTGCATATAATGCATGCCAAAGTGACATGTTTAGAGGAGCAAATACATTACCAGACGCATTTTGAAGTTTCTGGAACACCTGCAGGTAAAAGCAGACTGTGAGTCAGATGCTGGCACACGGTATTCCTCAGAATCACAGAGCTCGCTGAGTCTGTGGGGGAATATGAGGCGAGTGTGAGGCTGGAAACCTTTGAGTTGAGCTCACTCTAGGCATCAGAAAGCCTCAAAGAGGGGAAAGAAAAAGGCAGCCCACAGACAGCTAGATGAGAAACTTCTGGCACCTCTCCAGCTCAGGAATGAATTCTCTGTAATTTGGAGACGCATAGTGATGGAAATGAAGAGAAACTTGGATTTACGCGTGGATTTGCTCAGCCATGCAGAAATGGGCAGGTAACAGTCTCTCAGCTCATTTTGAAGCAGTCACTCAGGGAAAGACTGGATCAAAAAATTAACAGGCATCCTCTTTTGAAAAAATCAAAAGGCTACTCCAGCCAGCTTCCCAAGATGCCTTTACAAACTTCAAATGGATCATTCCATTAGCTATTTGTTGCACATTTTATTAATCCCAGTGCAGAGGTAAGCTAGAAAATCTAATTCCTTTTATGTAGAAAACTGGATTTATTGCTTGTCTTTATAATGCACTTTAGTCATATAAAAACATAGATTTACTTACAGAGTTCTCATTTCTTGTGTAAAACCAGTACTGTTTTGTCCAGAAAAAAAATAATGCTAAAAGGCTTGTTCACAGCTTTTCAAGGAAGTGGAGAAAAAATGTTTTAATACTCAGAAGCTGAGCTGAGTACGTATATATTTAAATGTGGGGTATGAAGCAAAGCGAGTATAAAGGAAGAGCCCTGAGCCATTCAGTGGCACATAAGAGAAATGGTTACACACGAGCATTGAGCAGGCAGGTGGCTCAAGTCTATAAATATATACATAATTAAGGGAAGGGAGAAAAGAGCTTTGGCAAATTAAGTTCTCACAGACAATAGCTGTGATTCTGTCTGGGCTTACAAACAGGCTAGCAATTTCTGGGGAGCACACGTGGACCTCACCTTGCCTGAAGAATTCCTCAGCTGACTAACAGAGCGAGCTTGGAAGCATTGCACACTGGCAATATATATTCAAATGTAATGAGGGAAAGGACAATATAACCATGAAAAATGTTGTCATGTTGCATTGTGCCTGTGTGGCTTAACTACTCATCCAACCTTGCAGATGGCCATTTGCCTGAATTCAATAGCAAACCTGCTATTGATGGGAGAGTGGAGGTGGGAGGCGGATTTTATTTGTTTTACTACACACACACACCTTTGGGAGGCTCAGAATTCAGGATAAAATGTCTGGGTTGAGTGTGGGAGTGATTATTTTCAAGGCCACATTTATCTATAATAAATTCAAAGTGGAATTAATAATGACCAATTAAGCTATTTATTATTTTAACTCTTGAAGTCAAGGGCAGAACAATGTTTATGTTTATTGATGAAGGGTCGATGGCAAGACCGCTAAAGATGGCCAGGCTCCCCTTTAAGCATGCTCAATGAACTCGTATTGACTGAGCAGCCTCCAGGCCTCCTCACGTTCCAGTACCCAGTCCTTTTTGTCTGGGAGATTTTTTCCTTATCTCTCCACTGCCATCTTCTTCATCTATTCATTCAACAAATATTCAGTCAAGTAGACACTCCACCTAATGTTATGAAGAACACAAGAACACTTAAGATGAGACCCTCCCTCAAGAAGCTTCCCATTGTTAAAGAGTACCACAACGGGTCTCAGGAAGGGGTGGGCATATCATAATTACTTACAAAAACCCACACCCACTGCCATCTCTTTTTCCACTTTGGATTCACGTTTGGGGAGGTGAGGCAAGCAGAATTTGCACCTGTTTTGAAAAAATCTCCCCAGGTGAGCCTTGGTCTCTTTCTTCACTCCATAGGAGGAACTACAATTCAAGGGAAATGTTAGAAGCCCTCTAACCATGGAGAGGAGGGTGTGCCACCCACTGCTGCAGGTAGACTCAAGCTACACAGCTACTCAAGCTGACCTGCACGTCTGTGTCTCTGCTGATCATGGGACCATGGCAGAGGCCCATACCTACTCAGTGTGACCCACAGGCTGGGTCTGCAAGATTCTGAAGAGAAAAGGTAGCCTTTTGGTTCATTCATATAACTTCTCTGGGCTGTTTCCTTATCTATACAATGACAAGATAGGGCAGGCAGTGCACTCTCTGAGGAAGCCAGTTCTATGCTATGTTGGCACCTACACAAGTACAATCCCAAGGTCAGAACTAAAAAGTCCTGACTTCTACTAACTTACTGCTTCATGGTACCTGCTCAGCAAAAAAGAATATCTTGAGGGTGAAGCTTCAGCCAGAGAACGAGGGACCTAGCATCATCGGCTTATCCTTCTCCACTTCTCCACATGGAGGGCCACTGAAGAATTCAGGGCATGAGAACAAGCCTGTTATCTGTTAACTCCCTCCATCCTTTGCTTCAGCAATGGCCTCAGCTCCAGTCCCAAAGGAACCCTAATGAGTGACAGATTCTGGAAACTTCAAGCAGAGTGGTCACCTACTCAGAGGCCAGGCTGCCACCCAGCCCACAGCCTCCATGGCCGATCCCTTTCAAATAAGTATGAGAGCCTGAGGAGGAAGGTTTAGGGCTTAGAAGAACAGCTCCTCCAGGCTCTAGTTCTAATGTTTCATGGTGTCCCATGACACTCCTCAGAGGTCTAGAGGAGACTATGGCCATACCACTCCACCCCTCCTTGTCTGTCAGCACAGGCTCACTCTGTGTCCTGCAAGCCCACCCAAGGTGACAATAAAAGTAGTTCAGAAGGGAAGCTCACCCAGCCTCCCCCACTGACTGCTCTGAGCTCAGCTCCACTGTCACTCACTCAGGAAGAAGCCAACCTTCACAGATATTTTAAAGACAAAGTTCATGCAACCAACTAAAAGATAAACTTCTTCATGTAATAACTCTACTAAATAACAAATGTTTCTATCTCCTCTTGTTCTCAGTTAAGAAAATCAGGGAAGCTCAACCTTGAAGCACAACTATTCAAAAGCGATAGCACTGCAGAGAGAATGAAGACAGACAGACCTGAGTATGTAGACAGGATTCTCTACTTAGTGGCCACATGTCTTTGAATAAGCCATTTAAATTCCCTCATACTACTCCCTCCTCTGTAAAAGAAAAAATATCTACCTTATCAAGTTATTTGGGGAGTTAAAATCTGTTGTGAAATGTTCTGTCTCCAAAAACAGATATTGCTTCTCTTTTAGAAAAATATTCTTGATTGGATCCCTGAACTTTAATTAAAATCCAGGGTGCCCTTTAAAAAAATTTTAAGACTATGGCCGTACCACTCCACCCCTTCTTGACTGTCAGCACAGGCTGGCACAAAATTAGTTACTCAAGAAATAGGAATTCAACTTATAATAATCAAAAGTGCCCAAATGCCCAGCTGGTGTTGTGCAGTGGTTGAGCATCGAACCATGAACCAGGAGGTCACTGGTTTGATTCCCAATCATGGCACATGCTTGGGTTGCAGGCATGATCCCCAGTAGGGGGCATGTGGGAGGTAGCTAATCAATGATTCTCTCTCATCAATGTTTCTAACTCTCTATTCCTCTCATTTCTCTCTCTCTAAAGATCAATAAAAACATTTTTTAAAGTGTCCAAATGCCTTCAATACCCCCATTAGCCTGTGAGGACAGAAACTATGTCTTAATCATTTTCATATCCCTCATACCCACTATGCCATGTGCTTCTGCATCCATTCCACAAGTTTTTATCGAGCACCTACCACTCCCACATTCCTACCTAGGTACCAGGGACATAGCAGAGGACAAGACAGGTGGCTCCAGCCCTCATGTGGCTCACAGCCCAGTGATGGACACAAAAGTTAAGTAAGTTCCATGAATAACTAAAATATATGTCTTAGTTATCTTAGGTTGTCATAGCAAAATACCACAGCCTGGGTGGCTAAAACAACAGACACTTATTACTCACAGTTCTGGAGGCTGAGAAGCCTGAAATCAAGGTGCTGGCAGATTTGGTTCCTGGTGAGGGCCCTCTTCCTGGCTTGTCTACAGCCACCTTCTCACTCATTGTTCACATGGCAGACAGAGGAAGCTCTTCCTCTTCTTACTAGGATACTAATCCCAATGGGGCTCCATCCCCATGACCTCATCTCCCAAAAGTCTCACCTCCAAATAGCATCATATTGAGGATTAGGATTTCAATAATATGAATTTTGGAGGGACACCAACATTCTCTCCATAACAAATATAAATGAATTAACTAATTAGTTAATGATAAATCTTGTTAGTCTTTTGTTTACAACAGCCCAGACAATGTCAAGGGCACAAATGGAAGAAAATTTGTGACTGTTTCTGATAATTATCTTCAAACCTGAGACTTGGGGCTAATGGTTGGCTCTCGTTAAGTGGCAGGTTTCTCCCTAGGAGCTGTCTCAGGGGATAGCTAGCCCAGGCAGCCTTTGATCTGTCCTCACCATCCCTTCCATCCCACCGGCAAAACGTTCTGGTTCCTGGCCTCACTGTTTTACATCCAAGCTGTCTGAAATGTAATAAGCTTTTTTAAAAGAGCACCCTGGATTTTAATTAAAGTTCAGGGACCCAACCAAGGATATTTTTCTAAAAGAGAAGCAATATCTGTTTTTAGAGATGGAACATTTCATAACAGAGATTTCATATATTGTGATGAGTGATAAAAAGTGACACGGATTGAACCCTCAAAGGAACCAGACTGCAGGATGGATGTGTGTGCACGTGTACATGTGTGCACACGTGTGTGCGTGTGTAATGCTCAGCCTGCATAATGAGGACAGAGTCAGGGAGACTCTGTTACTTAAACCATCCACCTATTTAAGGCAAACAGCGGAACAACACAAAGGCCTGTCTCTTGAGAGCAGGAGAGTATCTTTTGTTTTCCCTGATGATTCCCTTTGATTTAAAAGGCTTTAACTACAAGACTCCCTTGCAAACAGCATTAGATAAGAATTCAACTTCTCCAAGTGCCGGTCAGCAGATGTCTATCACAGACCTCAGAGAAAGGGACCATGTGGGATACTGCAATTCTATGCCACTCACTGGTAAAGAAATGTAAAATAAAATGAGGCCCCAATAGCATACCTGGCAGTTTGGCAAGATTATTCCACCCACGAGTTTTGTTTTGTTTTCATAAATTCATGCTTGCTGCTTGGAAAGTCCCTGATAATCCCCATTCGTCAAGCCAGTCAGGGGCTACAGAAAAGTGAGCTCCAAAGCCACCTGCTTTTTCAATGAACCCGAAAGTCCTACGACCACACTGGTGTGGGCAGGGGTGACTCGTGCCCATTTCAGGCCCTTCTGGGGTCCTTAAGTACTGTGAAATGGATAGTGGAAGACCTATTAACAGCTGGCAGATGACCTCAGGTAGCAGGGCCAGAAGCTTAGAAACTTCTGGTATTCCCATCCCCAGAGGCTCTGGCACTTCATAGGGCCGGCAACCACAGGTGCTATCCTACTAAAACAGCTGAGAGAGAGGCTGCCAGCGGTTATGTAGAGCCTTAGCCAAAGTGCTGGCTGGGCACCAATCCTGGGCCTGTGGACGTGAAACAGGAACCTGGGGTAGTGGTATGAGCCCCATTTCCCTGACATTACAAATGTTATTTCTCCAGATCCAAAGGACAAAGGATAAGGAGGTTTTATGAGAGATATCATGCTGGCCAGATATCTCAACCCTAACCATTAAACCATCAAACAATTAGGCTAAATCACCCGCAACCTAGTTTTCTACATCAATTTCAGCTTGTGATGGTAAATATAAAATGATGAGCTATAACACACACTAGAGGACTGGTGCACGAATTCATGCACCAGTGGGGTCCCTCAGCCTGGCCTGTGGGATCAGGCCAAAACTGGCTCGCCAACATGCCCCTAGGGATCCCAGATTGCGAGAGGGTGCAGGCCAGACCAAGGGACCCCACCAGTGCATGATCAGGGCTGGGGAGAGATGTGGAAGGGCTCCAGGGAGTGTCTGGCCCATCTCACTCAGTCCCGTTCGGCCAGACCCCAGCAGCAAGCTAACCTACCAGTTGAAGCATCTGCCCCCTGGTGGTCAGTGCACGTCATAGCAACTGGTCAACTGGCTGACTGCACCCCCATGGTCAGTGCACATCATAGTGAGCGGTTGAGCGCGGCCTTAGCATATCATTAGCGTATTACGCTTTGATTGGTTGAACAGCTGACCAGTCGACTGGGCACTTAGCATATTAGGCATTTATTATATAGGATAACTCTATATTTATTGTTACACATTTTACTATAAGGGAAATATATTGCAATCTTTGACAACAGCAAGTGACAATACTTCCAAGCCTTGAAAGGCCAGCCAATAAAAGAAAATGAGAACAATGTGCAAGCACCACCTATGAAAATCTAAGACATGGAAAGTACGTAACCAGGAGTCAATTACCAACTCAGAATCAAGAAGTGACATCTATGATTCTCAGAGTGTACAGAACAGGGGGGTGTCCACAACAGGCACAAGTGACCCTCATGCCAAAGGAGATGGGTCCACGTTTTGTCTGTGTAGGAGACAAGCACAGGACCAGGAGTTAGAGGACCCAGGGTCTCAGTTGCTGCTCCATTTCCTGGCACTGTGACCTCAGCCTCCGATCTCCCATCAGTGTCATGGGATCATGTCAGCCCTGCCTACTTCTTAGTGTTAATGTACAGAGAACAACACATATGCTGATTTGCAGTATACAAATGCATTGAGGCCTTATTGCCCTACCTCAGCACAAGGCATGAGAGCATCATTGAAAATCATTACTGTTTCAACACAATGTCTTTGTGAAAGGAGAAAGTACCTATAACAACCTTAAGAGGAAGTCAGTGTGTGAAGGATTAAGCCATATTAAAGACAGAGCCAAGAAAATCAAACATCCCCGTCGTGCCTAACAATCCAGCCCAGTCGGGGGTAGTATACTTCAATTACAGAGAGCTGTATGGACAGACTATCAAAGTTCTTGCTCAACTGAACTGAAGCATTGCAAAGTGGCCACCACTAAGACTCACCAAGGAATTCTTCATATAAACAGTAGTCAACGTCAATTAACCTTTGTGAACATGAAAAGTAAATGGAAAGGTTGAGGAATTAACAAGGAGACAAACACAGATGCCAGATGCAAGCATGATGTTACTGTAAATGCTACAATCACATGGTGGTTAATTTTAGTATAGTAGGAATGGCTCTCATGATAAAAGATCTTTTCTAAAAATGGATGTGCATTAAAATAGAGGCTGAGTCTAATC